TAGGGCATGGTGCCCAAACCTTTAACCATTTTGGCTGCCCTTCTCTGGACATGCTCTAGCTTGTCCAATTGTTTCTATCAAGGATGGGAATCACACACAACTCCAGCTTTCCTAAAACAGCTAGCCAATAGTGAAGCATGCTGGAAGATGTGGTCCAGCCACATCTGGAGGGCATCATGAATCCCACTTGTCTATTGTGCTTCCTACCAATCAATAAGTTCTTGACAGTAAGAGCTGTTTGACAGTGGAATAGCCTACTTTGAGAGATGGTGGACTCTCCTTTCCTTGGCAGTTTTTAAAACAGAAGTTAGATGGCCATATCTCAGTGGTGTTTTAGCAGTACAGTAGGCTCTTGGTATCCGTTTGTTCCAGGATCCCCTGTGGATATCTAAATCCATAGATGCTCACATCCCATTATATACAATGGCATCGCAAAATGGTGTCCCTTATCTAAAATGGCAAAATTAAGGTTTGCTTTTGGGTGGGGGGTTAATTTGGAAATTTTCAAGCCATGGACGGATGACTCCAGAGATGCAGAATCTGTGGATACAGAGGCTGACTCTATATTCTTGAATGGCAGGAGCTTGTTTGGACAAGGTGGTCATTGCTCTTCCTCCCTAATCTATGATTCTAGGAAAATCTATGAAATATAGGAGTGTTTCCAACTGGAAGATTATCAGAGAATAGGTCTGTATTGGAAAGCATCCTCTGTTTCAAAGGTGGGAACCATGTGGTCCTCCATATGATAGATTGCAGCTCCCAACAGCCTAGCCAAAGGTGAGGTGTTTAGTACCAGTTTATTGCTTGTGACCAAAGGCCATTTGCAAAGTGTAAGTAAGTAAGTAATAAAGTTGCAGTCCAACAATATCTGGGAGATGAACTGGGATTTGCAGCCCCACATCTTTTGCAGAGCCTCATGGTTCCTACCCCTGCTCTGTTTGAAGGGTCCAAGGCAGAGAACCAGAAGAAGCCAGGAGACAACAGGAGATCTTGAAGTTGACCATCAACTCTAGGAAAGCAGACTGAGCAGTGGGCATGGGGACCTAAATCCTATTGTTACTCTCAACTCAAGTAGGCTTATTGAACCAAATAATGAATAGTGACCAGTCAACATTTTTTGTAAATCTTACTGTTTCAACAAGTCTACTTAGCTGAGACTATACAAGAGAAATCAATTCAAGGTTACCTTTTCATCATATAGTGAGAAGCATTTTTTTTTTTTAAAAAAAAAGGGGGGGAATAGTCTTTATTTCTAAATGGATTTCTCTACAGATCAATAAACAAACACCTTACAGAGAGCTTTCTGTGTAAGGGCCACTTTACTCTAACAACAAAGTCTACCTGGTTTCTGGAATATTTTGTGTTCCAGGCTTGGCCCTTTGGTCTAATCCCTGCCTTGTTTTCAAATCTTGTCTCTTCTCCTCGCATCCTGATTTCCTCTTTGCTCCTGACTCCTGGTTTCCTCTTCAGTCCTGCCTTCTGGTTTCAATTCTGATCTGGACTGCTCATCTTTGGTCTTGAATCTCCACTCTCGGTTTATGGCTTGCTCCAGACTACTGCCTTCAGCCCAGTCCTGATGCTAGTCTATCAATAGACCTAGGGTACATCTACACAGTTTGAAATAACACAGTTTGATACCACTTTAAGTGCTGTGGTTCCATCCTATGGAATCCTGGGATCTGCAGTTTTACAGAGGCTTTAGCCTTCACTGCCAAGGAGTGCTGGTGCTTCATAAAACTACACATCCCAGGATCCCATAGCATTGAGCCACAGCAGTTAAAGCAGTGTCAAACTACATTAATTCTGCTGTGTAGTTGCAGCCCTAGTGAATCAATTAATGAATGGTGAGTCAACACTTTCGTAAATCTCAATGAATCAACAAGCCTATCTAGTTGAGACTACAAAGAGGATTCAGTCCAGGGTCACCTTGTCACTGTATAGTGAAAGGTGTTGTATTTTTATTTAAATTGTAGTCCTTAGTGCTAAATGGATTTCTTTGCAGATCAATGAGCAGACACATAAGAGGATTTGCCAGGGGTGAGGTGTGCAAGGAGATGCAAACCAACAGCATCTCTAAGGCCACATGATCTCCACTTTTGCCTATAGCAATCAATATCTGCCAAATCAAATCAAATATGTGAGGGATCTCTGAAAATCGCCAGTGAACTTTTATTACAGGTTGTATCCCCCTTATTGGAAATGCTTGGGACCAGAAATGGTTTGGATTTAGGATTTTATTTATTTATTTATTTATATTATTATTATTATTTTGGATTTTGAAATACCTGTATTTACCTATAAGTTAATAATGATATGTCTTGGCGATGGGACCCAAGTCTAAACACAAAATTCATTTATGTTTCATATACACCTTATACACATTGGTTATTGTCACTGTCTTATGGTGACCCTATGGGGTTTTCTTAGCAAAATTTGTTCAAAGGGGATTTGCCATTGCCTTCTTCTGAGGCTGAGAGAGTGTGACTTGCCCCCAAGGTCACCCAGTGGGCTTACACGGTTGAGCAGGGATTCAAACCCTGGTCTCCAGAGTCCTAGTCCAACCTCAAACCATTACGCCATGCAGCCTGAAGGTAATTTTATATAAGCTTTTTAATAATTTTGTGCATAAAACAGTTTATGTACATTGAACCATCAGAAGAAGGTGTTACTGTCTCAACCAACCAATAATTTTTTTTTAGTTTTTAGAATATTTTTGGATTTCAGATAAGGAAGACTCTGCCTGTACTACTATTGTTTGTCAGAGTGACCTGAGCAGATTAGTTCCACAATTCTGTCCAAAGTAGAGCAAACTCTGGGACATATGGTATATCTACCAATATTATATTATATATCAATACAGAACACTTACTTAGATTTACTACAGTTACTTAGATTTACTACAGTTACCTAAAGTGTCCTGATGACCAGATCCAAAAGATGTGTAGAAAACCCACCCTTGATTCATGACTGCTCCCATAAGTCACATTGCTAAGACGAATGAATACCGAGTCCAGCATCTCTAGAATAAACAGAATAAATATTTGGCTATGGTTTGGGTTGTGAATCAATGTATTTCTCTGTAGAAAAACAAACCACAGATTTTAAGTGGGATGCTCTTGGTGTTTATAGAAAGTGTAAAACATGCCAGCTAGAATTTTTAAGGCAATGTACTGTAATTTATAAATGTATATTTAATACACTGTTGTTCAGCATATAAAACACATAGGGCTTACGTCCTGTCAATATAATTCTCATAAAAAAATAAGATGATCCCGAATGGTTTCATGATACCTTTCCTTGCTGGCTGGGGATAATAGGAGCTGTAGTCCAAGCAATGTGGAGGACACTAGTTTACAGAAGGCTGGATTCATGGATTGCCTTCTATAGGGATTTATTTGGGAAATATTTATTTAAAACATTATGAAATGCATCGCTTGTACTGACCGATGTTTGAGCAACCTTTACAGGTTTGTTCAACTGTAATCCTTGATAGGTCAAGTTGTTTGCTGTACTCACTTTTGGATGTTTGTATTTCCAAGGTTGAATTCGTGTATTGGAAGACTGTTGGTATTGTGGCTTGGGTGTTGGACTAGGACTCTGACAAAACAAGGTTTTAATCCCCAGCTCAGCCATGAATAATCACCAAGTTTCCTTGGACCAGTCACACTCTCTCAGCCTTAGTGGAAAGCAATGGCAAACCTCTTCTGAATAAACCTTGGCAAGGTCATCGTAAGCTGGAGATAAATACCAAATAATCAAGGCAAATAACAACATCTTCCAGGCTTTATCTTTGGTACTCTTGTATTGTATATTATTAGCACTGTCTTTTGTTTTTCCAATTATATCATGCCAGTCACACACGCATATATATATATATATATATATATATATATATAGGGCCAGTCACACTCTCTCAGCCTTAGTGGAAGGCAATGGCAAACCTCCTCTGAATCAATCTTGGCAAGATCACCATATGCTGGGAATAAATAACCAAGGAAAATAACATTCTCCAGGCTTTATCTTTTGTACTCATGTATTGTATAATATTAGCACTGTCTTTTGGTTATCCAATTATATTGTGACAGTGAGCTTGGGCACGTCACATCCTCTCAGCCTCAGAGGAGGACAAGGGCAAACCCTTCCTAAACAAATTCTGTCAAGAAAACCCTGTGTTTCTACTCCTGTCCTTAGACAATGTACAGGGGAAGAATTGGGGGAGCCCTTGTAGAGCAAGCAAAATATCAGGACATTTATTTGCTATTATATTGTTGCATGGAACCCTGTTGGAGACTGAGCACTGGGAAATTGCAAATAGGGCAGGATCTTAGGTAGGATGAAGACAGACATTGTGGACTACCGTATCCATACCATACATAGGTTGCATAGGTTGCATATGGTTCTTGATTTATTCTATGTTTTGTGTTAATCAAAGCTTTGAAATCTTCTCCTTTGGACTACAACTCCCAGAATGTCCCAACATTGGCTGCATTGGTTGGGGCATTCTGGGAGCTATAGTGTAAAAGCTGCTGGGTTTTCTAGCTCTGAGTCTTTCAAAGCATCCTTCTTCCAACCTAGTGCCCTCTAAACATGTTGTACTACAACTCCCATCCTTGCTAGCCAATGCTGCCCACTTGAACACCTTTGGAGGGCACCAGTGATTGTTCTTCTAAACCCAAACAATAAAGGGATCTGCTTGTTCTCTGTAATAAAGGTCTCCTAGATCAGCCTTTTCCAAGTGGCACATTCATTAACCATGCATGCCAGGCTGTACTTAGTATCTTGTGTTCTGGAACATAAAATGCCTATCTGGCACCAGAGGAAAAACAGTCTTCTGTTTTGAGAAAGCAGGGACATGGTGCCTAGAGTTAATGATCTTGCTGGGCAGAGTCTGAAAGAATGCAGAAGGCATAATGTGGGCGGATGCATTCTGCTGAATGCTGCCATCCAAGAAGCGTATTGTCATGATTCTGGATGGCATGGATTCCTTGCATGCTCCCTACTGTCAGCCCATGGGCAGACTCCTTTTGTTAAGAAAGGATAATCAAAGGATATTTGCAGTTTGGACCAGTTGTGTCTTTAGGGCTGTGCATGCCTGTGCCCTCAAGTCCCCTGTCGACTTATGATGACCCCAAGAAATCCTCAGAGGTGGATTTGCCAGTTTCTTCCTCTGAAATATAGCCTACAGAACCTCTTCCATTGCTGGAAGAGACTCCAAGGTACCACTGAGATATCCATCAGCGTTTCCCCTGATTCAAAAGGTCTACTGCTGTAATAGGAACTAATAATTGGACTTAAGACCTTGGATTACAACCCCCACCTTCAGATCATTGGATGTGCTGGCTGAGGATGATGGGGGAGGTAGTACAAAACATCCAGAGCTAGGTTGGGGAAGGATGCATGGTGGCAGCGGCAGCTGGTGGGTCCCATGTTAGCGAGGCAATGGATCTACTTTGAGTTTCAGCCTGAACATTAAAGGAGCTGTTTAAGGCAGGGGTAAACAACCTTTCCCCTTTAAGGGCTGAGGAACTTCAGCTCCCAGAAGCCTCAGCCATGTTGGCCAATAGTCCCATGTTGGCCAATAGCTCTTGGGATTCTGGGAGCTGAAGTCCCTCGGCCCTTAAAGGGGAAAGGTTGCCTACCCCTGGTTTAAGGGTTTTGAAAGGGCTTTGAAACCTTTCTTCAAAATAGGTTGAAAACACTGGATAACTCCCTTAAACTTCAGAGTAACTGTCAGGGAATCCACCATTCACCATTGGCTCATGGGAACCCTATGCCTGACTAAAACAGTTTTTAACATGCAAAATAACTAAATAAATAAATCTAAAATTACAGACTAAAATACCAATTTGTTCATCAGTCTGTCTCTACTTCAGGGTTCAAACAATCTCACTACTTAACGTAAACTCGTGAACGAAGAAGGTTTATGTCCATGACAAAGGAAGGGGTAGATTGCTTTACAGTCTTACATTTACAGGCAAAGAAATTTTCTGTGGGATCCAGGTTTGGGTGATCAGTGGTTCAAGTGGCGCAGTTGCTCCTGGCCCCTCACAGAGTAGGAGCCCAGTGCTGAAGGGGAAAAAGGGGAAACCTCCTTTCTTTTCTTCCCTACTCCCTTCTTCCAGAATCTCCCCATGTTTCTGGCGTCATCAGCATTTTGTTCCTTTTTCAAGTAAAACTGCATTGAATTGGATTGCCTTTCTCCTTGCAGAACTGAAAATCATAGCATCACATTGCTGGAAGAGACTCCAAAGGCCATCTAATGCAACCTCCTGCTAGGCAGGAATACACAGTCAAAGCACTCCTGACAGATGGCCATCCAAACTCTGTTTAAAAACCTCCAAAGAGGGAGATCCCACCACACTCCAAGGCAGCATACTCAACTGTCAAACAGCTCTTACCCTCAGGAGATTCCTCCTAATGTTGAGGTGGAATCTCTTTTCCTCTAGTTTGCATCCATTGCTCCATGTCCTACTCTCTGGAGCAGCAGAAAACAAGCTTGCTCCATCCTCAATATGATATCCCTTCAAATATTTAAACATGGCTATCATCTCATCTCTTAACCTTCTCGTCCCCAGATTAAACATACCCAGCTCCATAAGTTGTTCCTCATAGGGCATGATTGCCAGAGCTTTCACCATTTTGGTCATCCTCCTCTGGACACACTCCAGCTGGTCAACATCATTTCTGAATTGTTACACCCACAACTGGATATAGTATTCCAGGTGAGGTTGGACCAAAGCAGAATAGAGTGGGCACTATTACTTCCCTTGATTTAGATACTACATTCCTATTGATACAGCTTTGGATCATATTGCCTTTTTTGGCTGCTGCATCACACTGTTGACTAATGTTCAGCTTGAGGTCTACTAAGACTCCCAGATCCCTTTTGCATGTACTGTCATCAAGCCAGGTGTCACCCATCCTATTTCTGTGCATTTTCATTTATTCTGGCCAAGTGTAGTACCGTACATTTCTCCCTCCTGATATTCATTTTGTTAGTTTCAGCCCAGCTTTCTAATGTGTTATGGTCATGGTTAATTCTGATCCTGTATTAGCTACCCCTCCTAATTTGGTGTCATGTTCTGAAGGGAAGACTCGGAGGCTAATGCTTATTGCTTGCTATCATTCTATTATTTGTTTAATTCTTATACTGTCAATCCTAAAGCAGTTCTCACATGTGAAGAGAGGGATTTTCCTTTTCGGAGCTGCTCCAAGGCCAATCCAGACATGATGGGATTGTCTCTAGTCTCCTAAGATTGCTACCAAAACCACAGTGCCGTGCCTCCTGTTGAAGTGTTGAGTGACACCCTTCCCATCAGATTATAAAGATCTTCAAGTCTCTCAAATGTAGGCAGATAATTATATGTCTGAAGAGAAGGGTGGAGGTTCCCTGAGCTTGGCTTGGTGCCTTTGGGGTGCTACATATCCCCTCCAACTTGTTTCAATTTCATCAGTGGAATCGGGCATTTTAGGAATGACTCATGGGAGATAGAGAAGGCCTTGATCCCTCTGGCTTGATCTGTCTGCTAGCTCCACCTTTTCAGTAGCTCCAAGAACTTAGAGATTTGATCAAAACGCACCCATTA